CTTAAGAGACAGCTTAAGATGATCTTTAACTGTAGGGCTACCTGGGTGGCTCAGCTGGTTGAGCATGCAGTTGGTTGAGCCTCAGCTCAGACTGTGATCTCAGGATTGTGGGATCAAGCCCTCTGTCAGGCTCAGTGCTCAGCAGGGAATCTGCTTGAGATCTCTCTCCTTCTCTCCGCCCCTCCCCCTGCTTACAACTCTCCCTCTCTCCAAAAAAAAAAGAAAAGAAAAGAAAAGAAAAAGATAGTTTTTTATATATATGAGATATATGGGGGGAGTCACTAAAAGCTACAAATGGTATAAAAATTGCAAAATGTTGCTAAATGGTGAAGCTGGGTGATAGTTACAGGGAGTTCAATATACTCCTTCTGTATTTACTTTGGATGTTTGAAATTTTCTTTTTTTTAAGACTTTATTTATTTATTTGACAAAGAGAGAGAGATCACAAGTAGGCAGAGAGGCAGGCAAAGAGAGGGGGAAGCAGGCTCCCCGCTGAGCAGAGCCCGATGTGGAGCTCGATCCCAGGGCCCCAAGACCATGACCCAAGCTGAAGGCAGAGGCCTAACCCAATGAGCCACCCAGGCACCCCGGATGTTTGAAATGTTCTGTAATAAAGTTAAAAAAAATAAAAGGCCCAGTCAGACATAGTAAACTTAAGAATACATACATATTTTTGGGTATAAAAGATGGGTAATATCTCTGGTACTTAGGTTTATCTGGTAATATGGAGCAAAGAATAATACAATTTGTTATTGAGTTGTACTAGTCTTGTCAGCTTCAACTGTCGAGGCTTTATACTTACCAGCAAGACTACGAATATCCTTCATAAAATGTTTTCTTTTGGGCTGCATCACAACACTATCTGTGTTTTCTGAAATGTAAAAATTAAGACAGTGTAATATAAAACCTGGTTTTATGCTCATTTATTAAATATCAACAGTGAAAACCAAATAATTAAATAGAAGCATACCTTTGCCTTTATGTGGCTTTGGATTTCGGTATACAAACCGATCTAAGAATCTCATTAATGTGAAGTCCTGCAGTGGGTCCCCTGAATACTGAATATAATTTCCCTGAAAGGTGGAGAGGGGAGGAGGACTAAGAACTTAACTCAAATTATATATATGCATCCAGTAAGAAAAAAAAAGGAAAAACATCTACAATGCATCAAAGGCACAAATATGCCATAAATGACCCTTCAAATATCCATCTCATCCCTCTTACTTGAAGAATTAAACACAATCATACATATACATACATATTTTATGATACACTGTTGATTTTATGAATAGGTAAGCAATACTGTAAGTCATCTATTAACCAGGAACCAAACACTGACGTGGCCAACACAGCAAATGGGAAAAGGGAGGGCAGTCTTCCTTCAGGAGAAAAGCCAGAATGTAATAAATAACTGTTGCCATTTTCTAATAGCCTGCATTTCCATTCACCACACAGTGGGAAGAATTACCTGCCCTACTGTATTAAAAAAGTCATTGGTCCTTTCCACCAGCAGAGAATGTTTATGATTCTATGTGGTGGATAGAAAACACTGTATGACCAACTACTAATTATCTAAAACTAGATTATTTTTTTCTTATTTCTTGACTTTAGAATATTAGACTTACCTGAAGGATAGTCTTTGCAAAAAGGGCCACAGAGGGATGAAAATGCTCAGATAGCTAAAAAACAGAGGAAAATCAACTCTTACTATAGTTGTAAATACAAAGAATTAAAACTTAAGCCAATACATTAAAGAAGAGTGATTCTCAAAATTTTGGTCTCAGGAATGCTTTATACTTTTAAAAGTTAAGGAACTTGGGGTGCCTGGGTGGCTCAGTCATTAAACATCTGCCATCAGCTCAGGTCATGATCCCAGGGTTCTGGGATTGAGCCCCACATTGGGTGGGGGCGGGGGGGGGGGGTCCCTGCTCAGCAGGAGGCCTGCTTCTCCCTCTCCCATTCCCCCTGCTTGTGTTCCTTTTCTTACTGTGTCTCTGTCAAATAAATAAATAAAATCTTAAAAAAAAAAAATCAAGACTTTAAGAGCTTCCAAAGTTTAAGTGGGATATATCTATTGATATTTACTTATTAGAAATTACAACAAAAACTTTCTCTTCAGTTTTTATTTATCTAAGTAATCTCTATACCCACTGTGGGGCTTAAACTCATAACCCCCTGGGCAAGAGTCCCATGCTCTTCTAACTGAGCCAGCCAGGCACCCACAATAGGAAATTTTGAAACAATTATTTACAGTCAATTTTAAAATAACAATGAGCCTATAATATATTAACACAAATGTTTTATGAAAAATATTTTTTCAGAACATATAAGCATTAGGAAAAGAGTAGGATAATTTCAGTTTTGTAAATCTATTTCATGTCTGGCTTAACAGAAGACAATGCATTCTCATACATGCTTCTGTATTCCCTGTTACTTTTTAGTTGGAAGTATAAAAAGACAATCTTGCTCAAACAGATATATTGTTGGGAATAGGAGGGTTAACGGATAACCTTTCACATAACTGTGAAATTTCTTCTTTGATACTACACTCAAACTGAAGATTAGTTGCAATATGGAATCTGAAACCACATCAATCAGCTTTTGGTACCTGCTACTCAAATTAATCGGTCTACTATGAATACATCTTTTTACCATGACTTTGTAATACTGTGCATTTAGGCATTTGGAAAATACTGATTCAGTAAGATATGCAGTTCTTCCGCATGCTGGTCGCATTATCACAAAGTCACACTGTTAGTATCACCACTGATTTTATCGGAAAAGTTTTTATAGGGCACCTGGGTGGCTCAGTAGGTAAGGGGCTACCTTTGGCTCAGGTCATGATCCCAGGGTCTTGGGATCCAGCCCCGCATTGGGCTCCCTGCTTGGCGGAAAGCCTGATTCTTCCTCTCCCTCTGCCTGCTGCTCCCCTACTTGTGTTCTCTAGCTCTCTGTCAAATAAATAAATACAATCTTAAAAAAAAAAAATACGTTTTTATATATTGAGAAAGTGTCAAATTCAAGGTAGTGGTTATAAGATCTCGAAATGCTGACTTTGCTTAAAAGCTTGAATTTTATCATTGACAACAAATACTGTTAGCTGTTTTGCATCAAATTAAAGATTCAGTTCATTCACTTTCAAGAAAATGTCTCCCAAATACCTAAATCTGAACAACCAGTCTATCTGTCAACCAGTCTTTTATGAAAAAAGCAGCTGAGTTTACAACCAACTACACAGGTACTTTTCCCAAGACACAAGACAACCTCATACTTAGGTATACAGCAGAAGTACGTTATGGATTTTTGCTGGATATGCACAAAGACTATGAAAAAGCCATGTACTCTAGAGTCAAGATAATTACTAATTAATTCTTATAAGATACTGGTTTTTCCCTGAAGGTACATGGCAGTGAAGAATATAATGGCTACTGTCCTTATCTGCACTACGACACTAGCAGTTTTAGCTTTCACTTCTTTTTTTTTTAAAATTTTTAAAATTTTTAATTTTTTTTAAAGATTTTTATTTACTTGACAGACAGAGATCACAAGTAGGCAGAGAGGCAGGCAGAGAGAGAGGAGGAAGCAGGCTCCCCACGGAGCAGAGAGCCCGATGCGGGGTTTGATCCCAGGATCCCGGGATCATGACCTGAGCGGAAGGCAGAGGCTTTAACCCACTGAGCCACCCAGGCGCCCCTTAGCTATCATTTCTTGAGTATCATCAGTTCCGCTGTCAACAGAGTGACAAAGGCAAATAATGTGCCTTGATATCACAATGAAAGTAGCTGTGACCCTGCAGACTCATTGAAAAGGTATCAAAGACCCATGGGAGTCTGAGTGGTAAGACACTTACTTGCTTTTCCAAAGATAACACAGAAAGTTTATTGGAAATATGAGTTCCTCTAATGCATTTAAAAAGTAATTTTATTTGCAAATAATTCTATCATCACAAAACTTCTCGGGGAGATCTAATGCATAAAGCAAAATTTATTTATAGCCATGTATAACATTCTTACTTTGCATCCACATTATTTAAGGTTTGCTACGTGTGAATATGTATAAATGAGTAAATTTAATGTTTATCAAATGCTACAGAAGTATGGGTTATAAAGCATTATAGCTGGGTGACATTCTTCAAATTGCTTCCTTCTGCCACTTAACTTATGTCTAAATAACTAAACTGTATTGATCATATTTACAAGCAAAAATGGAAACTTCAAGGTGTTAAATCCATAAGGACAAATACAAAGTGCTAATGAATTAAAAGACAATTTAAAATTACCTTTAATTTTTAAATCATTTTTTCATTTCATGAAAAATCATCATTTCAAAATACCTTTAAATCATTACCTTTTTGAGTTCCCAAAGACTTGTATTTTCAGCTCCACAGAACAAAGGGTTTCTACTAAATGGATCGTATGTGCTTAACTGTTTGCCACCTGAGAACAAAGAAAAAATACCATTTCTTAAATATTTTATTCCCAGCCCAAGAGTTCACTAAAACCACCACCATTAACGTTGTAACCAATAACTATAACATTATATATATACATATATAGATATAAATATATAACAGAATTATAATTTTGAACATTCTTAGCCAGGCATCCTACCTAAACATTCCAAGCCCCAACAAGAATTAGATATGGTACCGAGGATAGTATTTGCTACTGAATAAACCAGGTAACAGAAGGTGCCCAAATCTTGGTCAATTAGGTTATAAGGGTTAAAATGGCAACGAGCCTGAAGATTAAATAGGTCTAAATTATTTTAGAACTTTAAATGCACTGAATATTTATTATTAAATTATGTCCAGGAATAATTCTCACTTGGAACAAGTTTTATGTTATCTCTGAAGAATTTTCAGAACACATTACAACAAACTGTCTACTTCACAATGCACATGTTCATCATCCTTCTAAAGGACTATTCTCAGTTTAGTCTTTAGGGAAATTGATGGATTTTTCCTGGATGCTACCATACTTCTCTTTTATACTTCACAGGCAAACTGAAGTTTGGGGAGATGAAGTAAGTTGACCAAGAGTTCCACAGTAAGTTTGAAGAAATGGATCTGGCACATTTCTTGATCCCCAAGGTTTAGTGTGCTTTCCTTTACAGCTCAAATGAAGAGGCTGCATTTCCAAAAGGTATCTGCTTTAATTTCTAAGATTAAAATTACTTTAAAACATGTAACGTGTTAATAAGTAGACAAGTAATTCACTATATTAAAAATTTACTTCTAAGTGCCTGAATACATCTGGTTATAAAAGCTCTACTTAAAAAAAAAGAATATGGAGGACTTCTAAAATGGTATAATGTTAATTTCTATTAAGATCAAAGGGGAGGCCCTGGCTGGAGGCCATCAGTAGAGCATATAAATTTTGATGTTCAGCTTGTGAGTTCAAGCCCCACACTAGGTACAGATTACTAAAAAACCCTAAATCTTAAAAATCAAAGACCAAAGGAGAATCTAATTCCTGTTTAAAAGTTCAAAAGAACAACTGAAAGATTTAAGAAACTCACCTTTCAAATTATCAAAGTGCACCCAAGAAGCAGACTCTGATTTTTTTGTTTCCATAGCACCGTCTGACACAGTTCCTTCTGTCTCAGCTTTTTTTACTGGATCTGTTTCTTTATCAGCATCGGTGAATTTTTCTGTGTCTTCATCATCTTCTATGTCAATAAAATTCTCTTCATCAGACTCCTAAAACAATGGTTTAATAAATCTGCATTAATCAACTGGAAGTCTGTATTCAGTTATATGAGGCAGTTTTGAAGACCCACTTGTTGCTATAATGGTGAAACATGAAAATTCTATCAATCAAATTTATGACACACCATTTTCTTTTTTCTAAATTAAGAGAATTGAGTTTTGAGCCACAATTCCCCAAGACTTTGGCACTTTTTTACATGAAAACATTCAGCCCTCAAATTTCTGATGTATTATATAAATAAACCAATGAAGCAGGTGCTACTATGTCCATTTCACAACTGAGGAAACAGGTTTAAGATATTCACTGGCTCTGTAACTGTAACTACCTCATACAATTATAGTGTAGTACAGTCTACTATAAGTAAAGGGGTCAAGCAACATGCCCACCTAGTAAAACTGTACACCTGGGACTAAAATTCAGGTCTGTCCAACTCCAGGACACACACATGTTCATGCTCCAGAGAAGTAACTAAGTTACTGTCATTGAAGCAAAGAAGAAAAATACCAATATATTTCAGAACCCACTCGATTTAAAAAGCAGTTGTAAGATATACCGGATGATCGTCTAGCTGACTTCTTAAACCTGGTTTTGCTTTAAGGATCTCAGACACAAGGTATAAAGCTCCACATATAAATGGTGGCATCTGTTCACAAGTAACTTGAAGTAACCTCTTCACAAAAGCCTTCACCCTGCGCAATACGATGTCAGCTTTCAGAGATTTGTAGACAAGATTAAGAAACATGGCTTGTTTAGAACACATCATCAATCCTGGATCCAACATCTTCCTGTAAAACAAAAACAAGATCAAATGTTTATTCATAAAATATCTCTACAACCAGTAGTAGAGGCAACTGCTAACCTCATCTTAGGGATAATCTTCCTGTTTATTATTAGATCAACAGACCTAAGATGTAAAATGGAAGTCAATGACCAAAACAGACAGAATGATGATCTTGGGGGAGAGTGGGAATATCACAGAAGAAAGACGTTTTTTGGTGGTTTCTTTTCTTTTTCAGGGGTTTTCCATTCTCCAGCATAATTTTTATACAGACCTAGAACCTCATATGAAAGGCTAATCCAAAACGAAATAATGAAAACTGACCTATGAAAGTAGTGGACGGGACCAGAGGCTTCCACATAATTCTAATGAACACACATGTAGAGAATTGAACATATTTTTAGACATTTCCCCTTTTCCTAGTCGTTCCATCCTAGAGATCTCCTACTGCTTTTGCCCTCTAGACATTAGGATATCCAAAATTAACACAATCCAAAATTAACACAAAATTCATGTGCAATACTACTTCTTATTCTAAGTACTTCTATTAACATTTTCCCATTAATACTAGAAACAGAAATATGTAACCCAGTGAAGCATTCCCATATGGCCCTGCAGACCCACTCTCCTCCATTTGTTAGTTCCATAACTCTGGTGATATTGACATATCATCCTATATTATTCAATATTTGATATTCAATTTTCTGTCTTCACATTTAAAATTTTCAACATTTTCATCCATTTTGCAACTCATTTTTAAAACATTTGAGAATTTAGATAGGTGTGTCCCCACGATTTGACAGAGAACACATTCTTGAAATTTTTGATAAATCATATTTTTGTAAACCAAATCATGTTTCCTTTATCTTTTAAATAATATTATAGAAATTTTGTTTAAATGATTCTTAATAAAACCAAAAGAAATACTATAAGGAGGCTTAGATGTCATTTGAGGAAATCCATCTGTGAGAGTTCTTGGCATGCAATAATTTAAAGAACTTAAGCATGTACTCCTCAGATAGACTGTTGTGTTAAACACGGATTCCAAACATCGCCCAAAAAGTTCTTATGACCATCAAAAGTTATATATAAAAAACAAAACAAAACCAACAACAAAACCCCAAAACTCTAAGATCCCCCAAACCTCTAAATTTTCAGCTCTGGAACGCTTTCCAAGCTAAAATAGCCACTACTTAAGAAAACTATACTCTTAAAAGAGTTATGGAAAGGACTCTTATGAAAATTTTCTTTTTGGTGTATCAGTGCAATCAGCACCATGAGACATGAACTCCCAAAGCCCGCAGACCTGGATTTGCTGCCTACCTTGGCCTTGTCATGTCTGTCTGATTTTGTACAAATTACTGTACCTCACAGATTAGAGAAGTGTTAACAGGAATAAACTTAAGCTATTCATCTGAGTAATATTAATAACAGCAGGAGCCAACACCTGCATACACATACACATGAACTCAGTAATAAGTCCCAGTTTTGTCATTTTTTAGCTATGGAACCTTGGGAGGTTTTGTAATTGTAACAATAACCCTACAGGATAGGTGCACTCCCCTTCATTTTATAGACAAACCGACCACAGTAAAATGGGATTAATCATGTTTACCATCTTAAAGAGGATTAAATAATTTGTCTAAAGTTACAAAGCAAACTAATGGCTAGGACTCAAATCCAGGCACCGTGGCTTAAGTTCAAGATATCAGTACATTATATTTGTCATAAGATATGTTATGTAAAATTATTAAAATGAATAAGAAGGGAATATATAGCTTATTGGCATCCTTAAATAGTTCCAAAGTGATGTTCAAAATATCACCCCTCAATAAGTATGTGTCAGGACAACTACAAAATTTAGTGAACAAAATCTTAATCCCAGTAATTTAAAAAACTCCAAAAATGCAACTCTAACCCTAAGAGATTTTCTTGTTTGCCATCTGTTTTCCTCAAAATGAATGTAAGCACCTCTAGGTGTGGGAATTTTGTTCAGTGCTATATGCAGATACCTGGAAGTGTCCAGCATATAGATGGCACCCAAAAAAACTGTTGCTGAATGCATTACTAAATGGCTGTGTGAAGTTCGGGGGGGAAGAAATATAGGACTGAGGATGTGAGTGAGGGGGAAGAGAGTGAAGGAAATTTCAATTATATCTACAGTTCTCATTTTTTAGTATTTGTAAGATTTAAAACATACAGCAGAATGTTGAAGTTGAAATATTAGGTGGCAGGATACAGATGCTTTTTTGGGGGAGGGTATTTTTCTGTATTTTAACAAGTTCTCAAAACAAAAAATAAAATAATGTATGTATGCTAGGGCACCTGGATGGCTCAGTGGGTTAAAGCCTCTGCCTTCGGCTCAGGTCACGATCCCAGGGTCCTGGGATTGAGCCCCACATCGGGCTCTCTGCTCAGCAAGAAGCCTGCTTCCCCCTCTCTCTGCCTACCTGTGATCTCTGTCAAATAAATAAATAAATAAATAAATAAAATCTTTAAACAAAAAATCATGTATGTAAAACATGTAACATAGTTTTCCAACAGGAAAACAAAGATTAATGACTTACTCAAGGTTGGTGATTAGCAAGTTGCCGAGGGGGGCCTAAAATCCAGTTTTCTAAATTTCTTGCCCCACAGAGGGGCACAATAGGTGTTGTGTATTAAATCACATTATTATTAAATCATGTTATTCCTCACAGTCACCTATTGAAGTGGTATGTACTTACCTATATAATGCTGCATAGTATCGATCTGATATCGTCTGCTGAGAATTCATTACTTGGAAAAGCAACATTAAAGCTTGTACGCTGGTATTAAAATTCACAACATGCAGCACTTTAAAGAGTGTGTCGACCTGCTCCCTCACTTTGTCATCACCAGTCTGGGCATAAGGATATGCTCTATTTACTCCTGTTAAAAGGGCACTAAGCATTTTTGATTCAATATTTTTTTTCTTGATACAAGTCCGAAAAAAACAAAAATAAAGAGTAATTAACTTATTAGCTAATTCACTTTCTTCATGGGAAAGGACCATTTGATTTAAAAAGCAAACTGCGTAATACTGCGCTTTGGAGCTGATATTTGAGCGAAAGAGCAGCCTTTCTACTTCGCCACATACAACTCCTTTCATATTGGGATGCTTACAGAGCAAGGTCTCCAACAGATGAGAGGCTTTCGTGGCTATTCTGTTCTGAGGATCTCCCAGTTTATTCACCACCTGCACAAGAAGAGCCTTTTCTTCTTCAGGTTTATTACAAAGAAGCTCATGAGCTACAATAAGAGCTCGAGTTTTAGTGGCTACTAATGAATCATGACTTAAAGTTTCTAAGACCTGCACGAATTCGGCCACCAGGTGTTTCAGCTGGTGTTCAAAATACCATAATATTAGTCTTCTATCTCTTGAGTCCCTGTTGCCACTGGCCAACTGTTCTAGTTTGTTGAAGGGATGTTGGCTGAAAATCCGTAGCTTCCGGCTGTCTGGCAAAAGGTCTGTAACGAGTAATTCTTTGAAAGTATCCAAAGCCATGAGGCACTGCTGTTTGCTACCCTTCTTTTTCACAAGGTTCACAAGAGTTTCTACAAATTGGAGTGTGTGAATAGCATCATCCTGAATAAGAAGAATCATGGCTGCCATCCTGTCCCCTAGTGTCCCTGATGACACAATTGTTTTCATCCAGGTAGAAGAAGCTCCCTTCTGGTTATTTGTCTTATTTTTGAATAAGTTGATTTCATGCTCATACAGTTTCTGAGCCAAGGTTTTGTACTTAGACACAATATCCTGAGGCTGGGGTTCCAAAGAATATTCATTGCTGTACTCTAGATCATACCATTTGCCTCCAGGTTTGAGTAACAATGTCTGTCTCTCAAAAAATTCAAAGATATCCTGTTGTTTATCTTTCTTAACTTTTGGGGTGACACTGGTGTTCTCATCACAATGTTGTTCTGGCTTCTTCTTATTTTTCACCTTATCAAGTGATGTCCTTTCACTTTGTGCTGCATTTTGCTTTTTATTATCTACTTTAGATACTCTTGCTTCTTTTTGGCTGGCATTTTCTTTTTTAGCTGGTTCATCTTCTTCAACTAAGAAAGCTTTTGCATACTTGGCCAAACTAAGATTTTGGATAAATGCTTTCAGTTCACCTTGCTGAAGGTCATCGATTGCTCCTTTTCTGCCTCCATCCACCACTTCCTCATTTTCATCCAAAGTAGCCAGCATAAGGTAATCTTGCTGCATTAAAACATAAGAAAGTTAAAAAATAAATTATAAATCCAAAGTTTAGAAAAACTTCAAAAGTTAATTTGAAATATCTGTATCTTTATTATTTTTTTAAAAGACTTTGACAGAGAGAGATCACAAGTAGGCAGAGAGGCAGAGAGAGAGGGGAAGCAGGCCCCCTGCTGAGCAGAGAGCCCTGGATGAGGATGCAGATGAGGATGCCGGGCTCTATCTCAGGAACCTGAGATCATGACCTGGAGCCACCCAGGCACCACAAAATCTGCATCTTTAAAATCAATTAAATTCAGTTACCATGACATTGCCTGGGCTCCCACCCAACACCACGTAAATTCTCGATAAGTCAAAGATTCACATGTGAAAAAAAAGCTGTAATAGGAGAATGCCCACCATAATTAAAATAATTTCAGAGTAAAGAAAACCTTTCCTAATGACATAAAATGCAGGCCCTTAAAGGTAAAGATGGGTAAAACTGTCATTTCTCAGACGAAAAAACATACAAAAGGCAAAAGACAAATAATAAATTGGAAAAAAAATACTGGCAGTTGTCTCTGATGTCAGTTGACATCAGAGTAATTGGGCTTACTATTTAATGTGAAAGTTCCTACACATCAGTTAAGAAGTGATAACTGAAAGATCTGCAAAGTATATAAACAAAAGGTTCATAAGGGAAAAGTGATTTTTTAAAAATGTGAAAAGATACTCAACTTCACGGACATTAAGAAAAATCCAATTTAAGACCATGATGCATCCATTTTCTAATCTGTCAGATAAAAAAGATAAAACTGACAGGTGGTGTTGGGGAGACGGTGGGAGGAAGAAGCACTTTCCTACGTGGCTGATGGAAATGTAAACTAGCACCTCTATGGAGGGCAGCTTGTTACCTTCAAATCAAAATACAAGACACACATCCTTTGATCCAGCAGTTCCATTTCTATCAATTTAGATTATATAGATGTTCACAAATATGGGAAAAGATCTATTTTCAAGGTCATTTACTGCAGCATTAAAATAGCAAAAGACTGACAACCTAAACATCTACAACAAATGGCTGGCTAGATTAAAACAATGATTTATGCAGGCATAAAACCAATGACATAACTTTATATAATGTTATAGAAGAATCTGTAAAACAGCAAAAGAAATATACACAAAATATTAGACAGTATAGTACCTTTTGTGTAAAAAATAACATACGTGTATTTTGTTTGGAAGATATAAAAGACAAAAAAACTTGCTTTGGCTAGTAATTGCATGGCTAGAGATAAAGTGGGAAAGAAGACTTTTCATCAAAAGTGAAAGAACTTTTTTTTAAAAGAACTTTATTTAGTATGTGAAATATCGCCTTTCAAAAAGTAAACACAACACAAGTACAGGGCAAACTGTGAATCTGCCCCTGTAAATTGCATTTCTCTTGCCCCTACCGCTCTCCCCACCCAGTCTCAAAACACGTGCTAAAAAAGTAAGCTAAATTCCATCACGTACTTGCTCCAGATCGTCTAAGGTTTTGCATCAAACTCAGAGGAAGGCCTATATTTTACCTCTGACTTCATTTATTACTCTACCCTTACCTCATTCTGTCTCAGCTACATTGACATTTTTGTTGCTCACAGATGGCTCGCTCACTCCTTTCTTTCCTAGTTTTCTTCCTAGACATCTCGATGATGATTTCCCCGATAACCTCATTTAAAAACTCTTACGCCCTTCACACTGATTATCTTGTTTTCTTCTCCGTGGCACCGCTCAGCATCTGATACACAATATTCAAAAGTTTGATTACTGATTATTTCCCTTACGTAGAACGTAAATTCCACGAGAGCAGAGGGCTTCTAGAGCGTAAACATGTGCGTGTACTGCGTGAGAACAGAAGTTAAGAATACAACAACACTGGAGTTCGGAACACTGATGCCACTACGTCAGGACCCCGAAAGGTCAGTCTTCGCCGACCTGATGGAGTGCCAGTTATAAATCAGTGAAATGAGAGGGTCCTAACAAAGGCCACACCATAAAAACGTTCAATTCCAAAGGACCCTTCCCTTGTAAAAAGCAGTGGGAAAGAAGAGCGAGAAGCGCAGAGCGCACACTTCGAAGCTGCGATCTGGGTGCAGGACGCTCTCCCACGCTCCGGCTCAGGGGTTGCGGGGCCACTAGTGAAACCACCCCTCGCGCATCTGTCCCCTTGTCCGCGAGTCCGAGGCCATTACCTTGGTGCCTCCGAGCCGTAATACTTCCTCCAGAGAGAACCCATTCTCGGCTTCATCCTGATCCTCCTCGCTGTCCTCGTCCGGATCTTCTACCGCCTCCTCTCCCCGCCAGGGCCGCTTGGCGTGGAACTCCAAGGGTTTCTTGGAGGCCGCCATTATCAGCAAAGCACGCGCAGACGGCCCACAGTCTCCTTCCGCCTGGCAGGGTGACGTACTTCTGGCAGGGGCGTGTCCTCCCCCGGAAATGGCTTCACCACCCCGCCCCGCCCCCGGGCAGCGTCGTGCGAGGTGCGGCATGAGCCTTCTTGCTAGGAGCGGCGGCCTGGGGCCGCTGTGTGCGGCTGCTCGCGCGGGTAAGCGTTCGCCACGCCGGAGCTCCGCTTGTGGGGGGAAGCGCCTGAGGCGCCTCCCTCAATTGGGGGCCGCTTGAGGCGCTCCGAGCGACAGCCGAGTCCAGCCTCAGACCGAGAGCTCCTGTGTGGCCGTGGGCGCTGCGCGTGCTTGCCGGCGCCTCGTAGGGCGTGCGGCGGTCGGGCCGGGAGTCGGCTTTCCGTGCTTCGGGCGAGCTTGAGTCCGCGCTGCAGTTTCGAAAGCGCTCAGGCTGCTTGCACTTGCAAATACTAAGATGTTTTCGTGGTCCCGTTTACTTGTTTTTCGTAGTTCTTCCCTGTCTCTGGAGGGGGAAATACTTCAGCTCCGGGAGAGAGCCGGCGGAAAACCAGGTGACACCAATGCTGCGGCACCTTATATACAAAATCAAGGCAACTGGTCCCATCACTGTAGCCGAGTACATGAAGGAGGTCTTGACCAACCCTGCCAAGGTACGGGTCGGCGAGCCGGAGGACCAGGCCGCTCCAGCGGCTTCGCGAGGTGTGAGCTAGGACGGCTGTGCGCGGAGATGCCCGAGGGTCCTCCGCGTGAGCAGTAGTGGTGCCTTCTCCAGGGGAAGAGCCATCCCCCGAAGAGTTGGAGATAGAGAAATTAATGTCAGCGGGTTGGTTAGGCATCGATCAGGTCAGGGGCAGTGCCGTGAAGAACGGAGAATAGATCCAGAGCTGTTCAGGAGGCAGTGTAACCGATTGAATTTAGGAACTGAGGGTCAGGATGTCTTTTCCTACCGAGGCTGATGGTAGATGATAGTATCATTTCTCTGGGAAGGGGAGTGCAGAAGGAGGAAGAGCAGCGGCTGCTTTAAGAGGGAGGGGAAGGACAGAATTCAGTCCGAAGTAGGAATCTGAAGGGCTCATGGAACTCAGATGGAAATCTCCAGTAGGCATCTGGAAGTAGGAGTTTAGTACCCAGAAAGTTGACTGGGTTGGGATCGCATCAGCAGGCAATGGAAACATATTCTGGGTTTTCTTTTTGGGAATGGAAAGTCCAGGTCTCTGCTGTTTCAGGATTAAGCACTGCCCTTGTTCTGTGTCCTGCATTTCCTTGTCTGCTCAGCGAAGCCACTTGGTGAAAGCCTGTGGACCTTTTATTTTAGAATGTTTTACCTTTTGCTGGGTCAAAATAGGAAACCCATGGAATTCTGGGGTTTGTTTGGCCTGTTGCTGTTGGATGTGGTGTCCGGAGGTTTAATAAAGGGGGATCCTTTCATACCTTTATTCAGTGCTACCACATACCAAAAGTTCACCCAGGGAGAAACTTTAGAACAAACATCTCTGTGTTAGAGTGAAGGACCACTTATGGTTTATTCATTTATTGAGGCTCCAAAAGTGCCAGACACTATCTCAGGCACTGGGAATACTGCGGTGGACAGTGGAGCACAGCACTTATGCTCTAGTGAGGACATGAGCTACAAACAAGGAAACGTGCATCTGGGTGGCTCTGTAGGTTGGGCATCTGCTTTGGGCCCAGGTCTTGGTCCCAGAGTCCCGGAATCAAGCCCGGCATCTGGCTCCTGGCTCAATGGGGAGCCTGCTTCTCCCTCTCCCTCTTCCCTGCTTGTGCTCTCTCTCTCTCTCTCTAATAAGTAAATAAAATCTTTAAAAACAGGAAACAAGATAATTACAGATTACTGTGTTTCTGATGGAAAGAAAAAAAAGAGGTTGATGGGATTGAAAGTAAGTAGTGCAATGGGAGTAGGAGTTGGAAAAGTTCGATAGGTTGGTAAGTGGCCAGCAAAGACCAGATGGTTGAGCCAAGGTTTGAAGGATGGGGTCCAGCCAGCCTCACAAAGAACTGGGAGTGAGTTCCCAGTAGCAGAAGGGGAAGTACAAAGTTTTTGAGCTGGGAAATGTTTTGGCCCATAGAGAGAAGAGCAAGGCACCAGTATGGCTGGTGGGTGGTCACTGGGGGTGGCAGGTTAATGGTGAGGAGAATAGTATGAGAAGAGTTCGGAGAGGAGCCGGTTTATTCAAGGCTTCCATGGAATTTTGCTTTTTGTGTTAGTGTAAGGGGAAACCGTCAAGGGGTGCATTTTATGGATCTTGGTGATGACATCCAAGTGGAGACAGTAAGTGAGCATTCGGCTGCAAGAGTGTGCAGTTCTTGAGAAAGATTGGATATACACATATAAATTTTTTCATCATCTGTATATAGATGGTGTTTAAATTCAAGGACTTAGGGAGAGTCCATTGAGAGAATAGGAGGTTACCCAGGATTAAGCTTGAGGTAACTCTTGAATTTAGAGTAGAGGCTTTTTTCCTTTTCTTTTTTCCTGTTTAAAATCAGCTTTAATTTCTATTTTATTTAAAAAATTTTTTTGACCTTTTTTCCTTAAAGATTCCATTTATTTATTTGAAGAGCGAGAGTGAGCACAAGCAGAGAGCAGCAGGCAGAGGGAGAGGGAGAAGCAGACTCCCTCCTGAGCAGGGAGCTGGATGTGGGCTTGATCTCAGGACCCCAGAATCCAAAGGCAGACACTTAAACCAACTGAACCACCCATGTGCCCCTTTTTAGCCTTTTTTTTTTTAATTGAAGTATGGTTGATACGATGTCACAGTAGTTTCAGGTGTACAACATAGTGATTTTTTTTTAAAAGATTTTATTTATTTATTTGAAAGAGAACATAAGTAGGCAGAGACGCAGGCAGAGAGAGAGGGGGAAGCAGGCTCCCCACTGAGCAGAGAGCCCGATTTGGGGCATGATCCCAGGACCCTGGGATCATGACCTGAGCCGAAGGCAGAGGCTTTAATCCACTGAGCCACCCAGGCGCCCCCATAGTGACTTTCGAGAATTGTACCTTATGCTAAACTCATCATAACCGTAGCTGCCATTGGAGGTTCTTAACCTAGGGATCCTTGAACAGAAACCCGGGGGGGCTGTGAAGTTATATGGGAATAAAAATTACACCTTTATTGGCATTAACTTTTTTCCCCACCATTTTTATTGAGAAAGAATTGACATATATTACTATATAAGTTCAAGGGATATAGCATGATGGCTTGATTTGCATGTAACGAAGGTTGAGGTTTTTTTTTTAACTTTTTTTTTTTTAAGATTTTATTTATTTATTTGACGAGAAAAAGAGCGAGAGAAAGAGAGCAAGCACGGGTAGCTGCTGCGGGAGAGGGAGAAGCAGGGAGCCTAACATGGGGCTTGATCCCAGGACTCTGGGATCATCACCTGAGCCTTACCTGAGCCAAAGGCAGACTGTCTTAACCTAATAACCCGGTGAATACCACAGTGGGTCAATTAACATCCATCTTTTCATATAGGCACAATAAAAAGAAAAAAAGGGGGGGACAATTTTCTTGTGATGAGAACTCCCAGGATTTACTTGAAATTTTCTGTGTATCATACAGCCATGTTAGCTGTAGTCATCGTGTAACGCACATCTGTACTGGTTATTATCTAACTGGAAGTTTGTACCTTTTGCCAACTTCTTCCAATTTTTCCTCCCCCTACCCTCTGCCTCTGGTAATCAAAAATCTGATATCTTTTTCTATGAGTTTTGTTTTTTTAAATTTATTTTTATTTTATTTTTTAAAAGATTTTATTTATTCATTTGAGAGAGAGCGTGCGAGCATGAGCAGCGGGAGGGGCAGAGGGAGAAACGGACTCTTCCCAGAGCAGGAAGCTCAATGCAGGCAGGTTTCCAGGACCCTGGGATCATGATCTGTATTGAAGGCAGACGCTGAACCTATTGAGCCACCCAGGGACCCCAAGGTTTTTGTTTTTGTTTTCTTAAGATTCTATGTCTAGGTGAATCCTGTATTATTTGTCTTTCTCTGATTTTACTTAGCATAATGCCTTAAAGGTTCATCCATGTTATCACAAATGGCAGGTTTCCTTTTTTTAATGCCTGAATAACATTCGATTGTGTGTGTGTATATATATACCACAGCTTTTTTTCTCATTTAAAAAAATGTTTGTAATGTAGTTGACCAACAATGTTACATTAGTTTCAGGTGTGCAACATAGTGATTTGACAATTCTGTACATTACTCACTGCTCACCACAGTAAGTGTAGTCACCACCTGACACCATACAATGTTGTTATAATATTGTTCACTGTGTTTTCTCTGCTTTTTAATGTACTTTTCATCTCTGTGACTTATTTATTTTGTAATTGGAAGTTCGTTCTTAAAGTCCCTTCACCTATTTTGCCCATCCACCCACCCATCCACTTCCCTTTTGGCAGCTACAAGTTGTTCTCTGTATATAATAAGAGTCTGGGGTTTTGTTTGTTTGTTTTGTTTTTTCGGATACCACATGTAAGTGAAATCATGCGGTATTTATTTTTTCCCATCTGACTTATTTCACTTAGCATAATACCTGTTAGATCCATCCATGTTGTCATAAATAGTAAGTTTTTATGAGTAATATTCCACTGTGTATGTATATAAATATACATATATACCACACTTTTTGGTACCGCATCTTTATCCATTTGTGTATCAATGGACACTTGGGTTGCTTCCATATCTTGGCTATTGTAAGTAATACTGCCATAAACAGCAAGGCGGAGGGAGAGGGAGAATCTTAAGTAGGCTTCATGTCCAGTGTGGAGCCCAGTATGGGGCTCAGTCTCATGACCCTGAGATGCATGACCTGAAATCAAGAGTTGAACACTTAACTGACTGAGCTACCCAGGTGCCCCACCTCTGCCCATTTATTTATTTATTTATTTATTTATTTATTTTTAAAAATTTTTAATTAACTTTAATGTATTATTTGTTTGAGGGATATAGGTCTGTGAATCATCAGTCTTACACAATTTACAGCACTCACCATAGCACATACCCTACCTAGTGTCCATCGCCCAGCCACCCCATCGCTCCTACTCCCCTCCCCTCCAGCAACCCTCAGTTTGTTTCCCGAGATTAAGAGTCTCTTATGCTTTGTCTCCCTCCCCGGTCCCATGTTTCGTTTTTCCCTCCCTGCCACCCACAACCCCCCTCCCTGCCTCTCAAATTTCTCATATCAGAGAGATCATATGATAATTGTCATTCTCTGATTGACTTATTTCGCTTAGCATAATACCCTCTAGTTCCAACCACATCATTGCAAATGGCAAGATTTCCGGGATTTTTTGATGGCTGCATAGTATTCCATTGTATATGTATACCACATCTTCTTTATCCATTCATTTGTTGATGGACATCTAGGCTCTTTCCATAGTTTGGCTATTGTGGACATTTCTACTATAAACATCGGGGTGCACATGCCCCTTTGGGTCACTACATTTGTACATTGGGGGTAAATACTCAGCAGTGTAATTGCTGGGTTGTAGGGTAGCTCTGTTTTCAACTTTTTGAGGAACCTCCATACTGTTTCCATAGGGGCTGCACCAGCTTGGATTCCCACCAATAGTGTAGGAGAGTTCCCCTTTCTCTGCATCTTTGCCAACATCTGGCATTTCCTGACTGGTTAA